CAGCAATACTCTCTTTTGAAAATGCTGGTTCCCAGGCTGTCATGCTGATAACTTGTAATAACTTATACTTGATACAGTGACTCAAAGCCATTGACCAGGAACAGATATGTAGATTCTAGCTTGGCTACATACTTGTGCCAGGTATTGAAGCTAGAACCATCATGTTCAGGAGGGGGTCAGCAAAGGCAGCCCATACAGAATGAAGACAGACTCACGTGCTACTATGTTTTGTTTGCCAGCTTGTTCACAGGACATATATAAACCCTGGAGTAGAGTAGGATATCTCAGCATAGCTTTGCATTCTACAGAATATGTGTCTTAATCATACAGGGGTTCAAAGGCAATAGTTAGACTACAGGTTAACAGAAAAACCTCTAACTTGTGTTGCAAAATTGACAAGAATATTTTCATGGATATACAGGCGTACCTCGGTTTAACGTAATTTTCGGTTTACGAATGAAAATCCATTGAAAATAATGCCTCGGTTTACAAATTGTTTTTCGCAATACGAACGGATTAATTGGTTTTCAATGCATTTACTACAATTTTTTTAAATCATGTCCCTGTACAGTACTATGCTTTTAAAAAGCACTTTATAAAGAGTTTTTTGAACAGATAAGACTTTTTTTTACTTTTTTCTGACCTTCGGAACGGATTAATGGGTTTTTAGTGCATTTACAAATTTATTTTTAATCATGTCTCTTAAATTCTTGTCCAAGGGACTAAATTGGGGTATCAATCCACTTGTCCCTCATGACAATCTACTTTTCCAGATAAAAATAAATACATTTTAACGAAAAACCGTATTTAAATCTGAGGTGCTTTTAGAATCAAAAGGGGCTTTATGGCGACTTAAACGTTTAATATTTTTAACATTGACCTGTTTATCTCCTCCTCCCCTCCCTGCCTGTCTCCAGCACCGCACCCGGGCACTAGCAAGGAGGAGAGAGAGACCTTGCAGTATGATAAGCATTGATTGGCTGCTCATCAGGAAAGGGGAGTGTTGGGCTTATCCTTTATCCCTTTCGCTGCCACAGCTGTTTTTTTTCACAAGTTTAAAAAATAATTTTTAGGTTTGAAGATTACACAAAACCCCCAATCATTATATATTTTATGAAAGCAGAGACCCTAGAGCATAAAATAGCAAAATTTCAGTAAAAAATACGCTTAAGTTAATTTTAGACCACAAAAAAAAGCAATAAATTGCCCTATTTTTTTTTGTAAAATATAAAAGATGAGGTTGCGCCGAGTAAATGGATATCCAACATGTCAAACCTTTATATTTGTGCACACTCATGAAATGGCAACGAACTTCAGCACCCTATATTTTCTATAGGCGACACTTTTTAAAGTCCCTTAGAGGTTATCAGTATAGAGTTACGGAGGAGGTCTGGTGCTAGAATTATTGCTCTCATTCTGGCATGTGCAGCGTTAGATAACGTGTATCGCAATTGACGTTTTCATGCGTAGGCACCACAACGTGTGCTTTTATGTTTGTATATGTGGGGGCTCAAATTTATTTTTTGCAATTTAAAAAAACAACTTTTTTTTCCATCACATAGTCCCCTATGTGATGATTTTTGGTGACCGGTTCCCTTTATTGAGACATCCAAGGTCTAAAAGACCCTGCATGTCTCCTCTGTACTCCACTGAATGTAATGCAGTGCACATCGCACCGTATTACATTCTTTCCCAGCCTCGATGGCCAGGAAATCTTTCCACAGGTACTCAGAAGTGACATCATAATGACAGTTCCGGGTTAGGACAGGAAGGGAAGGGGAGTGGACGTGTCTGCTCTCCTCTAGTCGACAGCAGTGAACCGGTCCCAGGCCTGCAGATGGACAAGCGGAGCCCAGGACACATTGTGGGTGGGGGGGGAGGTTCACATGGGGGGGTGGAGGCTGGAACTGTAGGCTGTGTGAAAGCAATCGGGTAGCAGCACAGCGTCCCAAATGCTTTCACCTGAACTACGGGTGATATAAATTCAACATCCCTGTACCGCACTATGGTGTTTATTTTTTGAAAGTATTGTGTTGTAAAGATTGATGTTTGATAAGAATATAGGCAAGAGAAGTGAAGAAGTCCCGAGTCACTGGTGATATTACATGCATGTTGTCACACACGCATGTGAACACCGTATAGGATACTTAAGTGATATTATAGAAGGTATTGCGAAAATTGAGTTTTCATTTTTTTCTTTGGTGGTGGGGAGAGGATACACAGGAGACAAGAGGATAAATAAGGAAGACATTTGGAGTGATTATGCTCTATTGGATCCATTTACTCCTATATGGGTAACAGTCTGGGAGATTAAACTTGGGATATACTTACTTTTTGAGGAATTGAAGTGACCGCTCTTCTGTATTAGAAGTGCTGGACAACCTAAATTTAATGAGATTGTCATGGATACACAGTAATGTACAGTGAAGGAAATACGTATTTGATCCCTTGCTGATTTTGAATGTTTGCCCACTCACAAAGAAATGATCAGTCTAAAAATCGAATGGTAGGTGTATTGTAACACTGAGAGATAGAATAGCAACACAAAATTCTAAAGAAATACATGTCTAACAAATTGTGCACTGATTTGCCTGTTCATGAAATAAGTATTTTGGCCCCCGTCATTCAGCAGGATTTCTGGCTACCATGTGTCTTTCATACAGGTAATTAGCTGAGATTAGAAGCAGTCTCTTAAAGGGAGTGCTGTTAATCTCATTTTGTTACCTGTATAAAAGACACCTGTCCACAGGTGTTTGAAGGAGATGGAATGCTGCCTATGACCCCAAGAACACCATCCCAACAGTCAAACATGGTGTTGGAAACATTCAGCTTTGGGGGTGTTTTTCTGCTAAGGAGACAGGACAACTGCACCGCATCAAAGGGACGATGGACGGGGCAATGTACCATCAAATCTAGGGTGAGAACCTTCTTCCCTCAGCCAGGTCATTGAAAATGGGTCGTGGATGGGTGTTCCAGCATGACAATGACCCAAAACACACGGCCAAGGCAACAAAGGAGTGGCTCAAGAAGAAGCACATTAAGGTCCTGGAGTGGCCTAGCCAGTCTCCAGACCTTAATCAGTTTGAAAATCTGTGGCGGGAGCTGAAAGTTCAAGTTGCCAAACATCACTCCCCAAACCTTAATGACTTGGAGAGGATCTGCCAAAAGGATTGGGCCAAAATCCCTCCTGAGATGTGCGCAAACCTGGTGGCCAATTACAGGAAACGTCTGACCTCTGTGATTGCCAACAAGGGATTTGCCACCAAGTACTAAGTCATGTTTTGTGAAGGGGATCAAATACTTATTTCCCTCATGAACATGCAAATCAGTGCATAATTTGTTAGACATGCATTTCTTTTGAATTTTTTGTTGCTATTCTGTCTTAGTGTTACAATACACCTACCATTCGATTTTTAGACCGATCATTATTTTGTGAGTGGGCAAAACATTAAAAATCAGCAGGGGATCAAATACTTAGTTCCTTCACTGTATACAGTCAGTTCCATAAATATTGGGACATCGACGCAATTCTAACATTTTTGGCTCTATACACCACCACAATGGATTTGAAATGAAACAAACAAGATGTGCTTTAACTGCAGACACTCAGCTTTAATTTGAGGGTATTTACATCCAAATCAGGTGAACTGTGTAGGAATTACAACAGTTTGCATATGTGCCTCCCACTTGTTAAGGGACCAAAAGTAATGGGACAGAATAATAATCATAAATCAAACTTTCACTTTTTAATACTTGGTTGCAAATCCTTTGCAGTCAATTACAGCCTGAAGTCTGGAACGCATAGACATCACCAGACACTGGGTTTCATCCCTGGTGATGCTCTGCCAGGCCTCTACTGCAACTGTCTTCAGTTCCTGCTTGTTCTTGGGGCATTTTCCCTTCAGTTTTGTCTTCAGCAAGTGAAATGCATGCTCAATCGGATTCAGGTCAGGTGATTGACTTGGCCATTGCATAACATTCCACTTCTTTCCCTTAAACTCTTTGGTTGCTTTTGCAGTATGCTTTGGGTCATTGTCCATCTGCACTGTGAAGCGGCGTCCAATGAGTTGTGAAGCATTTGGCTAAATATGAGCAGATAATATTGCCCGAAACACTTCAGAATTCATCCTGCTGCTTTTGTCAGCAGTCACATCATCAATAAATACAAGAGAACCAGTTCCATTGGCAGCCATACATGCTCACGCCATGACACTACCACCACCATGCTTCACTGATGAGGTGGCATGCTTAGGATCATGAGCAGTTCCTTTCCTTCTCCATACTCTTCTCTTCCCATCACTCTGGTACAAGTTGATCTTGGTCTCATCTGTCCATCGGATGTTCCAGAACTGTGAAGGCTTTTTTAATGTCGTTTGGCAAACTCTAATCTGGTCTTCCTGTTTTTGAGGCTCACCAATGGTTTCCATCTTGTGGTGAACCCTCTGTATTCACTCTGGTGAAGTCTTCTCTTGATTGTTGACTTTGACAAACATACACCTACCTCCTGGAGAGTGTTCTTGATCTGGCCAACTGTTGTGAAGGGACTTTTGGTCCCTTAACAAGTGGGAGGCACATATGCAAACTGTTGTAATTCCTACACTGTTCACCTGATTTGGATGTAAATACCCTCAAATTAAAGCTGACAGTCTGCAGTTAAAGCACATCTTGTTTCATTGTGGTGGTGTATAGAGCCAAAAATTTTAGAATTGTGTTGATGTCCCAATATTTATGGACCTGACTGTATGTTGGGCTTTGGGATACATTATCGGTATGCAGTATTGAGGGGACAGTTGTGTGACTGCATATTACATGAAACATAAAGAGAAGGGAAAGTAATTATAAAATAAAAGAAATGTCTGCTCAAGTAGAGGAGAAATCTAGCAAATGCTTTGGGATTAAAATGTTGGGGTAGTTTTTGCATTCCTTTTTCTTATATTTAAACTAATATTGGGTGCAATTTTATTTCAGATGACATTCACAATTGCAGCAGACCACTAGTATACCGATACTGGTGTGTCCTAAGGCATTGCATCTATGTGTGCAGGGAAACTGAAGCAAAGCATATCAAAGTGGAACCTTTTAGTAAGTGTAAATTCAATGTAGTAATGTAAAAAAAAAAACTAAAGTAGGAGTGTTCTCTATAGAAAACAGATGTATGATTTTTCTTTTATGTTACATTTACTTTGATTTGTTTGCATTTACCCATTTTATTTACTCCCTATGCATTACAGTGTTCTCAATGCAATTGCATGCTGTGCTGCATTTTGTAAAAGAATGGTTACAGGGTGTAACATGCGGGGATGATTAGCTCTAGTGGTAGATGCATTTGCAAGTGAGTTCACGCCAGTCATAATCTATTTTTCATGGCTTGGTAGCCCACTTTTATTAAAGGAAAAAATGGAAAGTCCAAAACACAATGTTTCCCACACAGGGGTTCTTCTCCAGCAAAATATACATAATGGGAATTAAAATGTTAGCCCAACTGACTACTCATCAGCAGCACTGCTGCTATAGTTTCTATAATTACTGGTCCTTCTTACCACCAGCTCTTTCAGGCACACAGCTTAGAGCCACACAGGACTCCTCTGGCCAAGTCCTCAGGCCATTAACTCAGACACACACAGCTCCTCAGGCTGTTAACTGTCTCTTGGAGACTTTCATACTCCGGCTGCCACCTGCCGTCCCTCTGACTCCTGTAAGAGACCTCCTGTCTCTTTTGGGTGGAGCCCTGAGGTATTCCTAAACCTCCATTATAAGGCCTGTGTGCACCTGGGCACACACTCTGCTGTTCCTCCACAATACCCAGACACTGGGTTGGAGATTCCGTCCCGCCCAAGACACTATGGAATCTCCAAACTACAGAACCACTTCCAGGAGTAACAAAACCTGGAGAAAGCTGCAAAAGCAGTCTTCTCCACTCAACAGCTATACTCCGTAGTCCTGCACTCAGCCAATGTGCACACCCTGTGTCCTTTTACTGACAAATTTCACAGTGACAGAATCTTGTCCTGTCACACATCCTCCCCCCTTGTTTCGACCCAGTAGGGGGCGGAGCACAACAGCTCGATTTTCTTGATTGGGGCACCTCTGTGCTAGCTGTCAGCCACGTAGGCCCAATCGTTTTTTTTCGGGTGCGTTTCCAGGCACGCCCTAGCCTGAATCTCAGCAGTGTCCTACTTTTTCTATCCTCAGCCTAGCTGTTGGGTTCCAGGACTTAACAGTCTTTTTGCGAGGTCCTCTGCCTTTTCTATCACCTCTCCCCCAACTCCCTGTACTGAAGGTGTAGGAATCTGCCTTTGCTTAATGAAGAATTACTTTTTTCCTCATTTACACCAGTTCTAACCAACACTCTCAACCAACACAGTCTTTTAGGTCCAACAACATTTTTGTGCTTGCCCTAGACAACCAAATTACCAGAGATCAACCACTGTTTATCATGCTCATTTACCAATGAATTGTTCATCTCCATATCATCAATACCATCATTTATAGTATCCTCCAACAATAAATCACCTTGTCCACAATTACAGTAGGGAAGCCCTCTTGTTGGTGGGACTTTTATGACACACATTAGACAAAAAAGTTTTCTAACAAATGACAATTTAAAAGAGAACCGTAGTTTATTTATACAATCTTATAAGAGACATATAGTTACAAAGTATTGCGGTATCACCAGACGTGATTATACAATGAATAGGCAGAGATGAGTCATGCATGTATTTGCACTTAACACCTTTCGAGACCAATCATAATCTCTTCAGAAGTGCTCAGAAAACAAGACGCCTATAATAAACATATCGATATACATCTCAGATCGTACAAGGATACAACAGACAATATAATTACATTCATATTTATACACTTACACGGTCCACGTTGTCCACAATTACCAACACTGTCAGTTGTTTCTCTTTCAGTGTTTGCTGGGGCCAAGTCCAAGGGGGGAACCACACAAAGGTGAGCAAATATCCCTTGCAAAACCTTTGCAAGGCTTCACTTTGCCTGTTGGCTAAAGCTCCTTGGGCAGTTGGGCTAACAACTGACACTGATCAATACATAAACCATTTGTTAATACTTTATTTCCCACTGGTTTATTAGGTATACCATCACAGTCACTAAACCCATTGTTAGTAGTACCAATCCTTGACAGATCACACTTTTTGTATTTCAGTGGTTTTTATTAACTTTTGTAAACAATTTAACAGGAAGGATTACAGCAAAAGTTTTTTGCACACGTTTAAGAAATCATTTAAGGTCTGAAGATAAAAAAAAAACTTCAAAACATTATATTTTTTCTGAAATCGGAGACCCTAGAGAATAAAATAGCAGTAATTCCAATTTTTTTATGTCACATGATATCACAAAGGTCTAGGAAATGCAACATTTCAGTAAAAAATACACTTAAGTTAATTTTAGGGCACAAAAAGCAATAAATTATCCCAATTTTTTGTAAAATATAAAAGACGAGGTTGCATCGAGTAAATAGATATTCAACATGTGTAGTATCTCCCCCCCCTCGCTGTTGATGTATCTTATCTGTAGCCTTTTTTTTTTTTCTTTTCTCAATCCCTTCTAACATTCTGCTTAAACTTTGTAATTTGTAATAGTACTGTTTGGACTTTGAAGAAGGGGACATTCCCCGAAAGCTTGTCCTCAAAATTGTATGTTAGTGCAAATAAAAAAAGTATCACGGACAGTACTCAATTGTTTCTGTTGCAAATGCACTAATACGGCTACAATCACCTCAAGTAAAAATAAGAAAAAAGTTTTACTTAACATTCCTTTTTTTATCACATAGGGGGCAAAAAGTCCCCTATGTGATGATTTTTGGTGACAGGTTCTTTTTTTTGAAAAACTTAAAGTCTAAAAGACCCCCACTGTAAGTGGCAGCACACAGAGTCTGACATACGTCCTGCACACCACTTCTGGTGATGCGAACTCTGGCGTGTACACCAGAGCTTTTCCTCGTTCACCTCACCAGACCCAGAGTTTCTACCTATTTAGGAGTCTGGTCTGTCTCTACAGTCTGGCCACCCATGCGGCATTGCTTTCACAAGGTACCATCAAGCTGCCGATTGAATACCCAATATATATATGAGCGCCTGTAATCATTTTTCCTATATTATAGTTACAATTGTTCTCATTATTGCTTGAATAAAGTGGACTTTATTTTGGACATAACACTGCCCCGGGACCCTTTTTCCAGGTCACAAAAGATTGGTCATATGATGTGGTCTATGACACTCATTTTCTTTAACCAGTTGGTTACAGACTGATGCCACATTAGTCCCCAATAGGAGGAGAGGTCACTTATTGGGCATAAGCTAGCATTTAGTATTCCCTAAAATAACTCTGTGCTCTGGTGTTTGACATCATTTATTATGCGTTAGAACACATGCAAACATATCATGCAAGGGGCTCAGTTCGGGTTAAAAGAATTGCAAGCTCAGAGGTAAAAGTTCATGTACATTTGTGTGGAAGACATTTCTGTTCACCTGTGGGAAAAGTGGACTATACAATTGTGCAATAATTACTTCAGCCATTTCTAGTGTGTGTTGAACTCCTAGATGCTATCCGTTTGATGATGATCATTTGCAGAATATAAAATTTGTAAGGAGTTCAAGTAAAGCACTCACCAACCACTTATTAGACCAGACATTGGGGTTGATTTACTAAAGGCAGATAGGCAGTGCACTGCAAGTGCAGTTGCTCTAGATCTGAGGGGAACATGCAAGGAAAATTAAAAAACAGCATTTTTGCTTGCACATGATTGGATGAAAGAAATCAGCAGAGACTCTCCTCATTTCAGAACTTCCCCTCGGATATAAAGCAGCTACACTTGCAGTGCACAGTATATTTACCTTTAGTAAATCAACCCCATGGTTTTCTGTAAGAAATTCAAATAGTTGTTTGCAAGGGTATATATTACAGGCTCCATATTGTGTGTATATATATATTTAGTTTGGCATGCCTATAAGAGCATAGCAGTGCTGTGTGTATATATTTGTATAAAGCCTCTGGCTCAAGCCAAAAGCCAAAGGAGATTTGCTTTACAAAAATATAAAAATGCATAATACATAAGCTACACTGTGCTGATGACCCAATTTTATAATAGCTGACAAACCAGATAAAGAAAGATTCACTGTTTAATAAAATAAAATAAAAAAAATCTTGATTGACCTTTTTTGATGGGCTCCATTCACATTTATGTTATAGTTCATAGTCAAAAATAAGCCTGCCTTGCTGTGGTTTTCCAGGGAGACATCTTGTTTGTGGCTGAAGAGCATTCTTACTATCTACAATGTTACTTTCTAACAAATTGGCAAAACGTTTGCTGAATGAAATGTGTATGGATGAATATGCTTAGACTGAGTGAAATATGGGAGTTCTATTATAAGCCAGCTTGTTCGGTGTGGTGATAATCCCAAGTACTGGAAACTTTTTGCAGCAAGGAGCAATACCTCTTACCGCCTGAGTTCCCTTTTATTTTTTTCTTTACATTTGGGTTTACCCCTAGAAATCTATGCATAGCCTCTCAAAAGGTTTTGAGTGCCTTACTTGAACCTATTACCAAGTCTAATATTACTGCACTCTAAAATAGTTTATTTTTTCTTTTTTTTTTTTTACTTCAGGCCTCTGCTTGCCTTTTTGTGTTTGTAATTGTGTTCAGTTTTAAATTTCACAAATGTTTTAAAAAGTTTTTATTTTGGCACCTAACAGATGCAAATCATCTTAAGAAGAGGAGAAAAAGGAATGCTTCTGAATCTCGAAGGGGCAGGAGAAAAAGGGGAAAGACTAGAGCAATTACAAACAATGAGAGTACTGCAAAAGCCATGCTAGAGCCAACAACTAAACCCATTATAACAGACAGTGAAAGGACCACCATTACAACAGAAGCTACTACTATTACTACTACTACCACCACCGCTCCATTGACAACAGAAAGTAGGAGTTCAACTAAAACCAGTACAGATTCAGCAACTCTAATTATTACAACATCTGCAGCTGTGACAACAACCAAAACAAATCTAGTGACTCCTACACTAACAACCCTTTTGACCATACCCCTCCTACAATCAGTAGCAACAAATCCACCAGTTCAAGACACTAACAAACTTGTAGTTGCAACAAAAAATATTTCTGCTACTACCCCAACAAACCTTTCTGTTTCAAAAAATATTACTCCAGTTGCATCCATCAATGTAGAGTTTGCAAATACAACTCCAGCACCAATCACAAATGCAGCGCCAAAGACCAGTAGTTTGGCTACCATTATGCCAGAGACTACCAGGCAGAGAGACACAACTTCAACCGTCCTAGAGACCACCACCATAAATATTACTTCTTCTGCACAGGCATTGTCAACCATAGTGGCCACCAATGAGGTTTCACCAACTACAACTACAGAATTGACAACAGCTAAAACTAGTACGATGGTTCCCAGTACTACTTCCACAACCCTCTTACCACCAACACCAGCTTTTGGTTTTCCTACCACAATAACTCAAAAGCTGACACATGCTGTTTCTCCCATTTTGAATACAAGCTCTACCACATTAGCCACCCTGAGAACGCCAGAGGTGCCAAAAATACAAGACACTTCTAAAACTACCTCTGAAAGTATGCCAGGTACTGCATCAACTACCATTATGCCTACAACAAGTAAATTGTTCAAACAAGTCACTTCAGAGCCTACTTCAATTTCATCTACAAACTCCATTAAGGGAGCAGACCATACAGATGAGGAAGATGATGTGTTTATTGTTTGCAGAAGGGGTTGCAAAGCATATCCAGAATACCAGCATTTTGCTAGCCGTTCTAATGCTTGGAATCTTGTTCTTTCTAGCGGTTATAGTTCTACTTATAGTACAGGCATATGAAAGCTACAAGAAAAAGGACTATACTCAAGTAGATTATTTAATAAATGGAATGTATGCTGACTCAGAAATGTAACTGGACTTACATAGGACTCGGTCTAAAGTTATACTTTGTGCAGGGGACACATTACCTTTTCTCATCAGCCTTTAAAACCAACAGTGCATTTGTGAAGGAGCTTTGTTTTCCCAAATGAACTTAATTCAGGCCTGGACAAATTTCACCGGGAACCAGGAGCCAGCTTAAAAAGTTAGGAGGTAGCAAAATACACTCGGTTGCTTTAGTGAGCAGTATTACCCAGCTCAATTTTATTGACACCCAGTAAAGTATGTGGGAAAGTTTTCATAAACCAGGGAAGAGAAATCTCTCTAACGATTGCCTTGTGTTTGTACATTAACTCATACACACACTTTTTAATGGGACAGATATACAGCTGTATGTCTTACTCACCCATATTTACACACAAGACACTAGGCCAGTGATTTTTAACCTTTTTTCAGTCAAGGCACCCTTTAGAATTGTGTACAATCTCGGGGCACACCAGTTTGAAGACTCCTTCACACCAGGAAGTGCATCCAAGCTCAAGGGCTTTTTTTGTATGTTCTCACGTGTCACAGTTTTCCTTTCCTGACTGTCCTATTTGTGTGAAACATGCAAAAAGAAAAAAAGGCACCAGCATGATTTTGAAAATTGTGCTGCACCAAAATGCATGATACTATGGTACCATGAGGTTTAGCATGTGTGAATGCTAGTGCATTTGCTAGATGTTGGGGGTGCCATTAGGAATTAGCATTTTTGTACGGTGTGGGAAAATGGGCAACAAGATAAAAAAAAATGTAGTTTGTGAGGCTGTCCACTGTAGGACATATGCAGAGTTCAGTAGTTTGTAATAGAGAGTTCAGAGATCAAGTTTGTAAGGCAGACAAATCTGCGTACTAAACTGTGCATTACTAACAACTGAACTGTGCTTTACCAACTACATAACTGAGCCTTAGGCCTGCCATAGATTGCTCAAAGTTCAGCAGGGACCAGCTAAGATTCTAACCATCTATGGGCAGGGTGATTGTACCCAAATTGATTGTTGTATGAATTGGGTACAACCAGCCTGTTGGAACTTTCATGTGATTGCCAGCGGCCATAGCCACTAGCAGTAATCACTGTGTTTTCCCAGCAGGGACAGTGCCCTCCTGCGCTCACCTTCCCCCGTGTCTCCTGCTGGCAACACACAATATCTCCATGGCAGGGATTCCCCCTTCAACACTGACTGTGGTGATGGGGAAATCGAGTGATCTTCTTTCCTGCAACCCGTGGTTGCAGGAAAAAAAAATCACATCATCTATGCCGGCTTTAGATGTGTCTATAGATGGATTGTTATTTGGCTGGTTAAGCAGGGACCAGCAGAGTTTTGAGCCATCTGTGGGCAGGCTGGTTGTCATTCGATCGACTTGTGTACAACCAGTCTGTTGGAAACATTTTGCATGATCAGTGCTGCCAGCTAGAGCTGGTGATGTGTGTATTAAGATGGCAGGGGAAGTTTCCCTGCTGTCAGAATACAATAGCTCTGTATGGATTCCCCTATCCACCTTGAATGTATGGATGGGGGAATTGATTCATTTTCTTTCATCCAACCCTCTGGTTGAACAAAAGAAAATTTTAATCATGTATGGCTAGCCTTAGTGAACCACTGAACTGTGTTGTAACTACTGAACTCTGCATTATAATTGTTTATATACAGAGCTGACAAACTCAATGGGTTTACTAACTGGATCCCTAGCAGAAGGCAGTGTGAAGCAGCGTTCACATATATCCATATACAGTTAACCAGATTTTATTCAATTAAAAGAGCTAGGACTGATAAACTCATGGCTTGTATCGAAAAGAGAGCAGGAGGAGCAGAAAGGGTGCAATAAAAAGCAGGCTACTCTGAACTCTGATCCAACTGAAACAAAACACTGCAACCACGCTCCTGACACAGGGCAGAGAAGGGGTTAAGAAAACACACTGCAGACACACACTGGGATCCAAGAGACAAGATAAGGTGGGCTCAGATCACAGGCTGACACACTACAGCCACTGTCACTGCTACTGCAGCAAACCCCTGGGGAGAAGGAGAGATTCATTTGCCTGTGATTCTACAGACAGATTTTCAAGCATGGAGCTCTGTCTCTCTCCACTTGTCACTGGGGCCGAACCAGAAGGAGTTTTATACTTTTGCCGCGGCACCTCTGGGGACTCTCCATGGTGCCATGGCACACGGATCAATAAGGCTGTACTAGGCTACTGACAGACACACACTCTCTCAAACACAAACCAGTGTTTAATTGGTCTGGTAGGCAAAAATTATTTCTGTTGCTTTTTTAACTCAAGAATATTTTTTATGTTTAGTTATCTCTTTTTCAATACATATAATGGAGTCTACCCGTTTTGTATTACAGGCTTAATACTACATGATATCTGCGCACCTTGACACACTGAGGTGATGATTAGTAGTCAGACCTAGAACAAGAGAGAATAGGAAAGACAGAAAGTAAGGCTGAGCCAATGAGTGAGAAGAGCAAGAGAGACAGCCAGAGAGAGAGTGAGAGACTGCTAGAGAGTCAGAGAGAATGTGAGAACGTCCGAGAACCAGAGTGTGAGACATTTCCAGAAAAAGTGAACAGGAGACCATCACAGAGAGCAAGAGACTGCCAGAACAAGAGCTGGAGAGACCATGAGAGAGTGCCATAAAGAGTCAGAGGACATAAGGGACTGCCAGACTGCGTCAAAAAGTGTGAGAATAAAGTTTAAAAGCATATTTGCTAGAAATGGCTTAAATGATGTACCAGTTGGCTATGACTGGGCTGTGATATTTAAGCCACACACATAGGTGTAACAGGGTTAGGAGTAACAGCTTAGCTCTCAGTGCAGTATGTGACACATACATATAATGTCCTGCTGGGCAATGCATCCATTTCTCCCCACACTCTCGAAGAAAACTTACACGCTGCATCACTGTGAAGATAAGTGAACCATGTAGGGAACTAGGAAGCCTGTGAGATTGAGGCTTGTAATGCCTGCATCTTTCATGCAGTACAGCTCAAACTCATCCCAGTTGCACTTAGAGAGTTCAGCTCTGCCTTGCACCTTGCTACCTGTTGTAAGGCTAGTATTTTTACCTGGGAGGAGAGCCTAGATAATATATCCTGTGGAAGAACACTGCACTCAGTCTAGCCATATTGATCCTCGTCTGTTTTTCTTGAAATGGCAGTTAGTGAGATTACAGATAGAGACTTGAGTGACCAGGCCTTCACAGGGATTTTTTTTTCTAGATGTCATGGTGACCTGGCAACCAGGATTTGTCCAGCCCTGACCTAAAGGGTCCAACAACTTAGAAATGGCAACAGTGTCCCTCATTTCAGGAAAAGCAATTTGTAATAATACAGGTGCCAAACTTGTTGCAGAGCACAGGTCACATGCAAATATAACAAATGCTGCAAACAGTAATAAATGTTTTAGCAATAACATATAGGGTACATTTTATGCGAAAAAGAAGTTCACCACATGGAAATTGACTTTTTAAATATATTGGAACAGGCAAACATTAGCGTCATTCAAACACCCACCGATAAAGGTGATAAACTTGAATAAAAACATAAGGAAATTTGCCTGTTCATTTATTTAACAAAATGTTGATTGAAAATGGTGTACTGTGAAAAAAATTACACCCTAGGCTTCAGAAGCTGGTGTTGTTCCCCTATGCAGAAATGACTTATTGTAATAGTTTTGCGCACCAGTTTCGAGCTGTCCACCGTTTTTTTATATAAAAATTTTTGACCACTTCTCAATGCAAAATTCCTTCAGTTGTCATTGTCAATGTTTGTGTGTTATTAACATGAACTGTCACTTTCAAATCCTTCTACAAATTAGGGCTTTAGGCTCTTCTTCTTAAAATGTTTTCTATTGTGTATTTTCTATCATCTTTCAGATTATTGTGTTAAAAAATCAATTTCTGATTTAATGTCAACTTTCAGACAGATGGCCTTACATTGTCATTAAACACACTTTGATATGATGTAGAACTCATAAATAACCTGATAATTGCAAGCTTCTCAGGCCCAGAAACGGCAAAACAACCCCAAACAATAATATTTCCACCATCATACTTCTCAGTTATGAGGTTTTTCTCCTGAAATGCTGTATTTCGTTTGCCCTAATTATGTCTACTGTAACTATGACCAAACTATTGTATTGTCTCCATATGTGCAATGGCAAACTGCTGCCAAAAAAGAACATTACAGCAAGTTTACAAGAAGTTTTTCCTGGCATTTTTCCCATGCAGGTTAAACTGGTGCAAGCTCTTTCTGATTTTAGGAGCATTCAATTTGACACCAGTTGTTGTAAGAGTTACCAGCGGAGACTTCTTTTAGCATCAAATAGAAAATTTAACCCAAGAACTGACCAAGTCAGCCAGTCCTGGACAAATTTGCAGTTTCTTGAAATTTACACCATGTGTAGTTTATTATTCTTGCAGTGGAATGATCAATTTCCAAAAATTTAACAATCTTTTCAAATACCTTACCAAGACACTAGTTCTTTTGACCTTGGTATAATGACACAACACACATCAATAGCAAAACACAGGACCCTAGATATCAAAGGTTCAAAGAAATAAGATGAGCTCCAATTGCATAATTCCTAAGGAAGTTCTAATCATTGGCAACTAATCTGGACCACCTGATTTAAATTTTTGGGAATTAAAAAGTAGGAGTGAATATATGTGTGTACTGTTCCATGTGAAATATCTATATTTTCATTAATTTAGATGAGAATGAATACACCGTGTCGATTTCAGGTGTCATTTCTTAAATTATATTGCCTT